GGGTGTGTGTTCCCTATTTCTGAACCCCAACCTATCTGGGTGCCCACAAGGGCCCTCAAATATGAAGATCCTGATGACACCCAGGGGTGTGATGACGCCCCTGAGAAGGATATCCCTTCTGCTTAATTTCTAGATGGCAGTCTCTTTTTGGACCATGACACTCCTTGAGGTTGCCGTGGATGCCACCAGACAATAGCCATACAACCTCACCTGGGAACTCAGCTGAGTGGGGAGCGACAGACTGGTGGTCTCAATCACAGAACAACATCCGGCTGGGACTTGGTTCCCAAAGATCAATTTTGACCTATGTGACTTGATAGGGAATGAGTGGGATATGTCCATCCAAGACCCGAGATAATCAGAATATGGATGTCAAGGTCCAGGGCCTAAAGTGGTGATCCAAAGGCACTATTTTTTTTTTGTGTGTGCCCAGGGACGAGAAACTTTGGAAGATGTGGAGGTGTATCAGACTACTTTTGCAAGAGCTGGGACTGTGTTAGTACTGGGTACATAGCCTGGCAACCACCGTACAAAAATGACCTTATTATTAGTCTCAAAAAAATGGGTTGTGTTAGATTGGGAAAAATGTAGGGGAAAGTGTTTACCGGTGAAACTGAGCTTGACTGAGATAGAGAAAAAGGTCACCAGCTGGTACTCCAGGAATACCTGGGGACTTAGATTGTATGCTACAGGCACCGATCCAGGTGAGATCTTTATGCTGAAACTTGGAGTGATGCCGTTTGAATTGCCCGCTAAAGTTGGCCCCAATAGGGCATTACCAGAACCTTCCATAAGGTTACCTGCACCCCCCGCAAAGCTGCCCACTCCCAGACCTACCCCAAGCCATGCTACGAAGCAAGTGCAAACATTAAAGCCTATGCCGAACCTTGTTACAAAGCAAACGCAAATAGTAGCACCCACTTATAGACCAGCAACCTTGAACCCCCAGAGCAAGACCCCATAACTACCAGTATAGAAGCTAGTTATAAACTCCTTAATGCTTCAGCCCTGAGCCTAACCCGTTCCTGCTGTGTATCACTGCATGCCCTCCCTTCTATGAAGCTACTGTGTTGGACGGTGATGTCACCTTCTCCAACGAGCCTAACCCGAAGCAATGTGCATGGGGAGGTAAGACAGGGAAAATCACCTTACAGGAAGTCAGGGGGAAGGGGCTCTGTTTCAGCACAACCCCAGAAGAGCAGCAGCATCTGTGTACCAACGGGGAAGGAGCAAAGCTTGGGACGCATAAATGGATGACTCCACCTGCATCTGGGTGGTCGGCGTGTTCTTATACCAGGGTAACGCCTTGCCTATCTCCTGCAGTTATTGGTAACTTCACTGAATTTTGTGTGATGGTCACTGTGTTTTTCTGAGTCCTCTACTATAAAGGAGACTCTTTACCCCCACAGGTAACCCATTAGCACATTCAAAAGAGGGAGGTTAGGACATCCACCCTGACGACAGTGACGCTGTTTGGAATTGGACTGGCAGGAGCGGGGACTGGTATCGCCTCACTCAAGACCTAGCAGAGCGGATTCTCATCCCTTCGAGCAGCTATTGATGAGGACTTGGAGAGGATGGAAACCTCCATCAGTCATCTTGGGAAATCCCTGACGTCCCTGTCGGAAGTGGTGCTGCAGAATAGGAGATGATTGGACTTATTATTGTTGCAGCAAAGGGGGTTGTGTGCCGTGCTAGGGGAGGAGTGTTGCTTTTATGCCGACCACACAGGAGTTGTACGTGATTCTATGGCTAAATTGTGAGATGGGTTAGCCAAACGAAAGAGGGAGCGTGAGGCGCAAGAAGGATGGTTTGAGAGACGGTTTGGCATGTCGCCCTGGCTTACCACACTTGTGTCTGCCTTGGTCAGGCCAGTCATTTTACTACTATTACTTGTAACACTTGGGCCATGTATTGTAAACTGCCTGGTTCAGATGATAGAACCTGACTTGGGGCTGTGGTGATGCTCAGCCATGCAGTAGATAAACTTGCAGACCCTTGACCAGGAGATGCGGCATGGGTATGTGTGGCCATGGAAGGAGTGCGAGAAAGTGCAACATAACAGTCACGTGGGGAAAGACGCTGGGTGGGAGAGCCAGAGACGGATAAGACCTCGGAGGAGGCAACCTAAGATAGGCCCGATCCCTAAGGCCCCAGCGTGAGGCTCTCGGGTGGCTCTCGGTAGCTGGCTCTCTTATAAAACAAAACGGGGGGAGATGTTGGGGTCTCAGCAGCAAGCCTGAGATTTTGACCAAATCCCCTGCCCCTGGGAATAGGAGCTGGCCCTGTTCACAGGGCCCAGGGACTCACTCCAGCACTCTACCCACATAGGCATTCTGGTGGAGGAGATAACGGGATGAGGGAGTTACCATCGGCCTGTGCTGACACACCTGGCCCTGAGAATGAGAAATGTGACTCATTAACTGACATCTGCACTAAGCCTGATGAGACGAACGTGATGTGCATGTGGAATGCCCCTGGAACTGCATGTATAACCCCCCCACCCCACCCCCCACCCCCCGCATATGAGAGTCAATAAATGGAGCTGCTTGACCTCCAGCCTCCCCCTCTCTGCGTGGTTCTTTCTCGGTGGCAGCAGGAGTCCGCGGTGCAGGAGGGGCAGGGCAGAGGCTTCTCCCCTACCCCCTCTCCTACCCACTCTCACTCCTAAAGGGAGTACATCCAGCGACTTCGGGGATCATACTCCAGTGTGCGGGGGTCGACTGGCCAGGACCCGGACAGAAGCAAACTCCCAGCCCCAGGCACACTTCCTTCTGAACAAGGAGTGGGGGCCCACCCCTCATTCATCCTCAGGGTAGCACAGCTTCCTGCTGCCACTGCAGTGAGGTCCAACTGCCCAGCACCCACTGACTTTTCTTCCTATTGATTCTTTTTGGTTTGCTGGGGGCCACAACCTTTGGTGTCAGGATCACCCGGCATTGCATGAGGGGGTAATGCATGCAAGGGACTGAATTTAGGGCGTCTGCATGCAAAGCATGTGCTCCGGCCGAGCTTTCTCTCCAACCCGCCCCCACCTTTTCCCCTGGATTTCTCATCCCCCCCAGGACCCTCACAGCACTAAGCTCCTGCACCCCAAACCTGCAGCTCGTTCCTCCTCCCTCAGCCTCGGTGTAGAATAACATTGGTTTGTCCTTCCTCCCTTGCCACAAGGAACTCAGGTTTATTACAGTGCTACTGAGGCACTTTCATTCCATCCTGTTTATCTGTAAACTCTTCCCAATGCTCTCCTTCCCAGTTAATCAGCTTTTCCCCTAATCAGAATTTGTTAATTTGTAAGGTCAGATCCTTCTAGGACACTGAACTTGTAAGTTAATATTGCCTTTCTCCTCTCCTTATGTCTTTTGAATAGTTTACTTTAAAGCAATGTCCTTTTTGTATAGATACAGGAAGACCGTTATATTATGCTTTGTAACTTAGGATTTAATTGGCTTTGAATATTATTCACTCCCGGGCATCTGCTTTCTCAACTTAAGCCTCAGTTGCCCTTAGTTCCTAGCACTCCAAAAGCAGGGTCCCAACAAGGGACTGAATGGACCCAGGGCAAGCTGTGAGCTACCCTGGTATCAAAATGGGCCAGGCCAAAATGCCACGATTCTTAACTAGAAATTAAGAGTTTGATTATAGACAAATGCTGTCATGATCCAAAAGTAACGACGAGACTAAGACCCTGCTAGGGATAGGAAAGACTATCTGGCCTGAGCACTATAGTCTGAGATCGAGATGGCCCTAGGAGAGCAATTCTATAAGTTTAAGGTATTTCTTACTGTATCCATACAAAATTATTTATATTATGTATTCTTATATGTTTGTTGGACAAAGAGAGGAGACACACACCAAAGGGATTCTGTTCTGGGGTGGGTCGTCCTGCTGAGAGAGCATCAGTCCTAGAAGTGGCTTTCCCAGAGTGAAAGAACTCTACCCCTATTGATTGTAACCACACCTATGTGTAAGCCCCAAACCCTCATGCTCTGGGGATTTAACTAGACCCAGATTCCAGAGCAAGAGGAGAAGGGGGATGAGGATCGAGACTCCAGAGAAGGAGGAGAAAGGGGATCCAGATTCGGATTCCAGAGCCAGAAGCAGAACGAAGGGAGATTGAGGAGGAGAACGAAGTAGTAGCATGGGGGAGGAAGAAGCAGAAAGAGAATCAGAAGAGAATGGAGATGGGATTGGAATAAACTGCAACTGACACCAACCAGCCTGGCCCTCAGTTCCTTCCTTCACCTGCCCATTGCCATAGACCTGGGGGGGGGGGGGGGGACCGGCCTGAGACTACGCCGGTGGCCCGGTGGCGGCAGAGATAGACCCCGGCTGTTTCTTTTTTAGTTTACACCCCTCGGCTGCTGCTTCCTCCGGCCCCTGCACTCAGTCCCCTGCGCCCGGTCTGGTCCCGCCCGGTCCCGTCCTGGAGGTATCCTGGGCTCCCCTGGAACAGCTTCCCCCTGCCTGAGACCTCCCGCCCACCTTACTTCTCCCCCTCCCTGTGGCCACAAATCTTGCCCATTCTGTCCCCATCAGGACTTCCCTCCTGCCTCACCCCTGCCCCACGCCCCCTCCCCGGCCACAGTGCTGAGTCTGGGAGGAGCAGCCCCGCCTCTGCGCGCCTGAGAGGCGACAGGACCGAGGGGACTGAGAGTCCACCGAATCCCACGCTTCCGCCGGACTGGCCTCCTTGGCTTTCTAGCAAGTTCCAAGCACCAAGGCGACAGAGGCGTCCCCAGGCACCATTCCGACGGATAGCCGGAAACTAACCCGCCTCCCCGCGCTTTCTGCAAACCCGCAGGACGCAGACTCAGCAAAGCAAGCAAGTCTTCCCTCTGCTCCCGGCAGGAACCGTGTGAAACTCGCGAACTGACCAAGTGATCGATTCCACTGGATGCTCCCCCTGCACCCCGCGCGCACGCCCTGTGCGGACCCTGCACTCCCCCCGCCCCACACACCCCGCGGCCCCTCCAGCCTGCCGTGCGGAAATTTCTCACCAGGTCCGGGAACACCTGCAAACCTGCGCACGTGGTCCGCTCATCCCGGCACCGCTCTCCCGGCGACTCCCGGGAAATACGGTAAAGGGCGGAGCTGGGGCCCGGAAAGACTACATTTCCCACAACCCCCGCACCAGTATAAACTACATTTCCCACAAGGCCCTGCGCCCGCACCAGCGTAAACTATATTTCCCACAAGGCCCTGCGCCCTCCAAGCGCCACCTTACGGGACAACCGGGAACTACGTTTCCTATTAATCCCGGCGCCTTAGAAAAGAGTAAAGGAGGGTTAACGTTTCCCCAAGCCTTCGTGCCTTGCTATCCGATACCTTCGTTTATGGTGGATAGCGTGAGTCCCTGATATCTTGCTTTTATTCCCTAACAAACTATGGGAATCCCAGTTTCTGTGAAATCGTGAGTTCGTCTAAAGCCACGTGCTGTGCATGCATATGAAAATTCAAATAGTTTGGGACTCAATCTGTGCAATGGAATGTTGGTCCAAATTCCTCCTAGTCTGTTTACATTTGCTCGTGAAAATTGGTCCTATTATCCTAGGGATGACGTTTTCTTTGCCTCATCACATGAATTTTAGATTGACTCCTATTTTACATAGAATCATAATTAATTTTATAAAGAGGCCCATATAACCCTATAGTTCCACATGGGTTTTCCGGGTATTGCAGACTGTTAATGTGATTGATATAGAATCTTTCTCTTCATATTGATCAGCGCCTTTTGTATTTTGCTTTTATTTCCGTCCTATTGATTTCCAGATTTAGTTTTTATTAAAACATTGTGCTATACAAAGATTTTCATAATTGAGTTATTTCAGGTATGAAACATTCCAACACTAATTCCACCACCAGTCTGACCTTCCCTCCACTAATGTCTCCAGTTCCCTACCAGCCCCCAGCATCCCTCGTTGGTGAGCACATAATAAATTTATTTCATATTACGTGCTCCAATAAAACTTAAATGAATGGCAAATGGAATTATCAAAAAACTGTCCTCCCATTGTTCATCGATTTGCTCAAGCGAGCCCAGTAATGTCTCCATTTTGAGACTTGTTGTTACTGTGTTTGGCATATGGAATACGTCAGGGGTAGCTTGCCAGCTCTGCCCTGCGGGTGAAATACTCTCAGTAGCTTGCCAGGCTCTCCGAGAGGGGTGAGGAATCAAATCTGGCTTGGCTGGGCTGGCTGCAGGCAAGGCAAACACTCTACCACTGTGCTATCGCTCCAGCCCACCAAAATATAAATCAATAAAAATTTGTGATGACTAATTTTTAAACGATTTTAACTAATATAAATGTTAATTATTAAAGTTGTAAAATCCCAGGGCTGGAGAGATAGCACAGGGGGTAGGGCGTTTGCCTTGCACGCGGCCGACCCAGATTCGATTCCCAGCATCCCATATGGTCCCCTGAGCACCGCCAGGAGTAACTCCTGAGTGCAGAGCCAGGAGTAACCCCTGTGCATCGCCAGGTGTGAACCAAAAAAAAAAATTGTAAAATCCCATCGTAAGCTAAGAGTAAACAGATCTTTTGTAATCTGGTAGAGGTCAAACATAGGCACCATGAGTGAGTACCAATACTCAATGCTGCATGTTGGTTAGTTTTTCCCGTCATTTAAGGAAATTCTTTTAGCTTTTGTTTTCACCATTTGAAACTTTAAGCACTGTGATTTGCAAAGTTGTTTATAATACAGTCATTTCAAGTATTTAACATTCCAATACCAATCCCAAAGTTAGTTAATTTGAATTAATCCAAATCAACCTTCCCTTCACCAGTGTCCCAAGTTACCCCCGCACCTGCCACCTCGACAGTTCCATGGCTGCAGCTTAGATCTCATGTCTTACATGTTGTTAAGTCTGTGCTTTAGATGTACGGCTATTCCACTCTCCCACAGCACCGGTATAACTGAACTCCCGACCCCTGTTCCCCCCATTACTTCCCTTTCTCGTCTTCTTCTCCCTCCACCCCCCGATTTCTTTACTTCTCTGTCTTTCTGCTTCCTAAACTCTGGGATCTAGGTCTAGGCATCCCCCCTTTACTACATTTTCCTCATCCAGTTATTCTATATACCATAGATAGGTGAGATCATCCTGTGTTTTTCTTCTTCTGATTTCCTTTGCTCAACATGATATCTTCCAGTTCTATCCAGGTTGCAGAAAATCTACCTTTTAATTTTGCAGACCATGTCTGATACTGGTATGGCCATGCTGGCCTCTTCTTGTCTAAGATTTACCTTTGATATTATTTCCATCCTTTCACGTTTGATCTGTATACATCAAAACCATTTTTGTGTTTCTTGACAGCAGGAGAAAGTTAGATTGTTTTCTTTTTCTTTCATTTTTGATTGTTTGATTTTGGGTCACCCAGGTGGTGTTCAGGGCTTACTCCTGGCTCTGTGCTCAGGAATTACTCCTCATGGGCTCAGGGCACCATATGGGGTACAGAGGAGCAAACATAGCTTGATCATGTGCAAAGCAATATCCTACCCACTGTACTATCTCTCTGACCCCAAGGTTCTTATCTAGTTGGGGGCCATACCTGGCGGTGTTCAGGGCTTACTTCTGTTTCTGCACTTAGGTATCACTCCAGGTGGTGCATGTGACCATATTTGGTGCCAGGGGTAAAACTCAGGTTGGCTGTGTGGAAGTAAAATGCCCTACTCACTGTGATTCCATATTTAATACTCCAGCCCCTCATAGGTCTACATTTTTTTATCAGTAGAATAATATATTTATATAATAAGAATTGAACTAGAGCAATAGCACAGCGGGTAGAGCTTTTGCCTTGCACATGGCTGACCCGGGTTTGATTCCTCTGCCCCTATCCAAGAGCCCAGCAAGCTACAGAGAGTATCCTTCCCGCACGGCAGAGCCTGGCAAGCTCCCCGTGGCATATTCGGTATGCCAAAAAACAGTAACAACAGGTCTCACAATGGAGACGTTACTGGTACCTGCTCAAACAAATCAATGAACAATGGGAAGACAGTGCTACAGTGCTACTACAATAAGGAATTCGCTCTCATAATTATGGAGGTTAATAGTTTCTTAAGATCTGTAGCTGGCAAGTTAGAGCCAGAACAAATGATGAAGTTCTAGTAACCATGCTGAAGACCCAAGAAGAAGTAATGTTTCACCCACAGATCAAGATGTAGGGAAGAAAAAAAATTCAGTATTCCATATCAAGGCAGTCAGCAGGAGAAAAATTCACCCTTACTCAGACTTTTGTTCAGTTCAGGTTCTCACTGCCTAGATAAGTCACAATCACATCTGAAAGGCTAATAGTCCTTACCCAGTCTGCCAATTCAAATATTAACTTAATTAGAAGTGCTGTCTTGAATATCCAGAATAATGGTTTATCAAACATCTGGGCACCCTGTGGCCCAATCAGTTTGAAAGAAAATCAGCCACCACAGATGGGTTCACACAAAACCATAAAAACTACCAGAGAAAAGAATTTACTACATTAAAAAAAAAAAGAATTGGCTTCATCAAAAGTCAATAAATCTGATATTCAATAAAACCAATTAAAGAATTAAAAGACAAGCTCCAAACTAAGCGATATGATTTGTAAAATTTATGTCTGACAAAGAAGTTGTATTCAGATTGAATTAATGATTCGGCTAGCTTAATTTTAAGAAGACAAACATTATTTAAAATAATATGTTACAGATTTGGAGGCATTTATACATTTCTTAAAAGAACATATATGAATTTATGTCAAATAGTATAAATACATGTTTATATTTAAAACCATTTATCTCAAAGTAAAAGATAAAAAGATAATTTGCCACTAGGAGATGCAGAAACACTGGGGAATTCAGTAGTATTCTACCTAGTGAAGCTAGGAATAAAAGTCATATCTGTATGATTTCATCTTTATGAAATTCTAGAAAACACATAACTATATTGATAGGAAGCTAATCAATGTTATCAGGGGTAGTGGAAGAAGAAAATGATTGACTGTCGAGACACCTTAAGTTATAGTGTAGGGTGATGGAAAAATTCTATTTCATTATTATCATGACCCTTCAAGATATTATAGGCAAGGATTAATAACCATAATATAGCACATGTAAGTATTGCGAATGACTATATATAAATAGTCATGGTCACGGTCCTCCCGTTGTTCATCGATTTGCTTGAGCGGGCCCAGTAACGTCTCCATCATGAGACTCGTTGTTACTGTGTTAGGCATATCGAATACGTCACGGGTAGCTTGTATGCTGAATTTTTTTTAAAACAACGCTGGTATATGAACAGAGTACTTCTGATCTATAAAACTTTTAGGACAGATAAATTTATAGCTCTTTTGCCCAAGAGTGATTAATACAAATATGAACATGAGAATGTCCATAGGCCCTGAATATAAGCTATTTCTTCCCAAGAATATACAAAAGAGAAAAATGGTTTTCTACTTCTCTCAGTATGTCTGGTCTCACCAGCCTCATTACAGGCAAGAGGGAAAGCAGGTGAGAAAGTTAATGATCAATCTTAAAGATACTGATAAAGTCTCAGCTACATGCCCTTAGTGGGTCAGGTATAATGTAGATGACCCATCTCCTTAGAAAGTTCTCAAGAGGATCACTGATCATCCGTGCTCAGTGATCAGTAATTCAGGAGCATATTGTTCATTCATTTTCCTGCTCTTTCTCAATTCCTGATAAGTTTCCCACAACTCCTTCGGAGATGAGGCTAAGACTGTTCAGTTCAAAGAACTCCAAGGAGTAATAAATAATTGTAATAAATTCCTGGAGAAGTGATAAATAATTACATCCAAGTTAATTACTGGGTAAAGGATCCTCACTCCTAGAGCTGGAAATAGGCTTGCCTGACCCCTGCCAGTCTCAAGCGTTTCCATGATACTTTCCCAGAGAGGCCTGGCCATTCACACAGCCAGAGTCAGATCTTAGGGAATCCCTTACACATAAATTTATGTCAATCACCTTAACTTTTCATGAAAAGACTGTTTTTTCCTGTTAAGTTTCACAAGTTTTCCTGTTAAGTTTCCCCGAGTGTCACAAAAAATTACTCATGAAGTGCTGTATCTTCTATTAAT